GATTAATGTGATGCCCTTAGCAGGTTGTATATGGAGATGTTTGAGAGGTTTAACCTTAGTTCATATGGCCTTTATGTGTTCCTATGAAATTGAGCAAAAGAATGAAGGAGAAAGCTACAGAATTGTTGTTGTTTGATGCCCCTTTTTGATTAAATTGTTAATGTGTCCATGTGCTTATTTGTGACCAAAATATTATGTAATGTAATGATACGATGTTGGTTTTTATAAAGGCTAAAATTTATTTATGGTCATAGTATTTTATTCAGTTTTATTAAGCCTTTAACATGTGTTGCATGATGGAAATAAAGGAAGTGAAAGATGCATATTATTTGAGAAATAGTAAAGTGAAATGGGCATATGATGTTGTGTTGTGAACCTTGGACCTCATATTATTGCATTTTTTTGGCTGCGCTTTGGTCTTGTGAATAAGTCGTTTGTTTAGTGTTCCAGATTCAATCATTTAGGAAATGGTTCCATGCGGGTGAATTGTTTCTAGAAAAGAATTGAAGTGTGAAGGCTAGTATGTTGATTTAGGCGTGTCCTTACCTAGTTAATTGTTATTCTTTTTTGTGTGTTATGCTTGTTGTTGTTGTGTGGCTTAATCAACCGAATCAAAACCCTTATAAATAATTAAGTCCCTAATTTTTAGGTTTGAGAAGTCGCCCTCGACCTACGCTCTTCAGCTTGTGTGCTAATTGCCTACTCGATGCTCAGGTGGGTTTTGAAAAATTGGCTATGCTTTAAATGTTATTACTGTTATTATTATTATACTTGGTATGATCAAAGTATGCATGTGGAACATGTAGCCTTCGATGTGAGCTGTATCGGCCGTCGAATGGTTATCCCTGTAACTATAGAACGACCCCGATGGGGTAATCGCCTCTTTACGTCCTTGCGAAGGACACATCGCTTGAGACCAGGGCTGTGCTCGGTCAGCGATAAGTACCCCGATGTAAGTCCGATGGCGAGGTCGGGCCTTCGGGGGAGATTCCTACTGGCTTGACACTCGTTGTAAGACCAGAAGGCCGAGGGCCGTGGCTTTCGATATATAGTCGGCAGTAGTCTATTGATATAGGTGTGCACATGAGAACGAACTTGGGATAGGAGGTTGGGATAACTAATTAATTACGTATACATGCTGTGACCATACTTGTTTTATATATGATTAATGATTACTGCATAGTGGTGAGGACTATTGTTTCCTTTTGTGCTCATCCCCACCTGCTCTTTATGGATGCAGGTTACTATTGCGGGTACAACAGAGGAGGCGAGTGGTGGTCATGTTATTGGTTTCATTTCCGCTGCTATGAACTGCTTAGTATTATTTACTGCATTTCTGGATTTATGATGATTACCAGATTATTGATAGGGAGTGTACTCCCTAGTATTTATGCATTTGAGAAAACCAGTTTTTGGGAGATTAATGTAATTGTTAAACCCGGTTTGGGTGTTGATTCAATTTATGAACCCGTTTGGGAGTTATGTTTTTGATGTAATGGAAAATGGTTTTTCACCTAGTAGCGCCGCCAAGTGTTTTTAGAAATAAATTTTGAAAAATTTATTCTGATTTTCGTTAAACAAAAGTGGGGCGTTAACAAGGACATTAACTTTTGGGATAAGTGGTGGTTTTGTGAAGGTCCCCTTTTGAGCACTAGGCAAGTGACACACCTTCCCTTTCTGCAGGTGAAGGACCTGTAGACGGAGGGGGGATGGGATAGGAATAGGTTAGAGAGGATTCTTGGTATTGGATCGGGCTTTAGTGACCAGGTAATCGATGAGATCCAGCAGATTTCCCATCTCGGAAGACAATTTGGACGGTATGAGGTGAAGAGATACATCTTTGGGTGCATTCTGTATGACCTCGGCTTGGGGGGAAGTACGGCTGGGAGACCGGCCTAACCTTCTCTTCGGGGCCATCTGGACCGACCTATTTACCCCGACCATCTTTGTTTTCCTATGGC